TATAATGACATGAGTGAATTGCGTCTTTTTAACAACGTATAGGTTATACATGCATATATATAGCATGTATTATTTAGTGCCCATCGCTGCTACAGGTAATAACTACGAGTAGGTATATAATATTATGTAGAACTATGTATTATGAAAAATACCTACTTAAAATGTATATTAACAAAGAGTGAGTTGGCATATATCGTGGGAAGAGGTAGTTAAAGCGAAAATAGGTTTTTGTTTTGAATTATCTAAAATTTAAAGATGAGCGTTGTGAAGTGGTGAGGGGCCACGCCAAATTTATAGTCCTGCATCACACTACTCCAGCTAGTCTGAATTTTAAACGCTCATTAATAATTAAAAAAATTAAAAATGTGGCAATCTTATAAAAAAAAGTAGCAGTATTAAAATTCCGATGAAGTTAGATTTTTTGCTTCATCGAAAACGTATTGCATACACATCGTTTTAAATCTATAAAATACCCTATAGTACCCATACCAACTGGCACCTACAGTTTAAATCGTATGAAAGTGTTTTTAGTTTCGAAAAACACAAATATCTATTCGAATAATCCAACGACGACGAATGAATGATTTACTTCAATGCAGCCGTCGTTTTCCAGGTAGGTTAGGTTATCATTCTGATGGTTGATATAAGAGCGCCAAATCGATGTAAGGAGGAAATAAAAACACGGTATTATATTGGTATATTAAGAAAGTGCAATACGTTTAATTTTAATCAACCCATTTATAGTAACCGTCATAGTTTATTATGTATTATTATAATATCTCTAATTTTCGTTAGTGCCGTGTAGGTAGCTATAATATTGATTGTCGTCTATTGAAAATGTATGCATAGTACAAATTCAAGGAACTCACGAATTGCGATAAGTATTATAATAAATTATAAAAGAAATTATGAGCAATGTAAATTTGTAATACGAACTTTTGTTTATAATTTATATTATAGTTTTATTAATTCAATCTATAATATGTTTTATGTTATAAGTTATTATATATGATATATTTATGTTAATATAATATTGACGCAAATACGATATTCGGGTATTTTTTTTCTATACCTTCGGCATTTAAATAAAAAGTATTGCCTATTACCACGGAACATTGCACATGCCTGTATTATAATATTGTAATATGCGATAAACTACGAAACGGGTGTACCTCATAGGCGTGCGCAGAGTTAAGTACCGATCAGGCGCAGCACACATTTCTATTTTGTTGATAACTATTATTTTAAGGAACATTTTTAGCAAATGTTTAGCCAATAAGTACATTGTATATTTGTCAACACTAAAAATAATTATCTATTTCATCGTGGTTTTAATTTTAAACAAAGAGTATAATCGTATCACGAACACCCAGAAAAACTAAAAACAAATTTAGCGTTATAGAAAGAGTAGATGCAGTCTAAGAAGCTGCATCTGCTGCGCCCGTGCACACGCCTATGGTGTACCTATGATATAATATGCACGCGTCATGACCTGCGCGTGACATCAGATGACCACTTACCTGTCCAAGTTGTGTATCTGATCGCTTCCCGATCCCCGGAGCACGTGTATGCGCCCGTCGGCGGCGCTGAACCCGGCCTGGGCTTTGGCGTCCGGTAACCCGACTTCGGCCATGCCGCCAAACGACTGCACCCACTGGATGGGCGACGGGTACGCGAACTGCACGAACGTCTCGTGGCCGTCGGTGGCCACGGCCACCTGGAACGTGTTGGTCCGGTCGGCGTTCTTCTTGTAGTAGCCCACCCGGTGCCACGTGGCCACGAACACGGACGCGGCGGCGAACCGGCCCTGGTACCGCGGGTAGAACTGGGACACCTGGCCGTCGGCGTGGGCCAGCGTTCGCGGGTCCCGGTCTTCCCGGTAGTACACCTGTCCGCTGCCGCGCAGGTCCACGTTGGCGTAGAACGCGGCCAGTGCCGGGTAGTCGAGCGGGAACGGCACGTTGTAGAACGTCGGCATCTCGTTGTTGAACGACACCAGACCGTTGCTGTTCACCTGTGCGGCGTTTTATAGCCGTCGGGGAGGTGTTAAAAATTAATAATTGGTAAAATCTTAAATCATCATATCGATGTCAATCTTTCACGATCGGATTTTTATTCGCGGTTTTAGGCGGTCTTATAAAAACACTCTATAACGGGCACCCGTTCGAGTACGTACAGTTGTACAGATACTTATTTTTAAAACTTTAAAAGCATTTAAAAAACGCTTAGGTGTATAAATACTCGGTAAAAAAAAATCAATATTTGAGTACTTTTAAATACAGACGCTCGGAAAAGCATTTTAGATACTTTCAAATACTTTCGACAGTTTTACATACCTAACACTAAAACACGCTGTTTACTTTGTAAATCAACTCGATCGATTCTTTTTTCCAAGCATTCCCGTGTTCGCAGAATTGAAAATATAAAACGTTTGGAATAAAAAGAAAGAGTTCTTGAGAATTAGCTATTTATTTTAAATATATATATATATATATGTTTACCTAGAGGGCATGAGCAACACAAACAAGTTGAGAAAGGATTTAAAATACGTATTTTAGTAGGTATTCATTAAAGAACAAACAAATTTGAAAATACATTTGTTTGGGGTATGAATACAATACTATTATCCATTGCAGTTAACAATAAATAAGCCAGCGCTCATACAATTTTTCTGACTGCACACTGCACAGTGCACTATATTGTCTATATAGCACGAGCCAGCAACTAAAAACCGTTTATACCCGTCCACCATATTTTTTGATTAGATATGATCTGGCAAAACCAACTAAAAAATATATACATTGTCTGGTAATTTATGATTTAAAAATAGACGGGATAGGATTATTTAATCCATAACCAGCACTGCGTTATTACTTATAATAAAATTATTTATAAATCAAATATACCACTGTACACTTGTACCAACTAAATCGACGTCTTAAAATTGATTGAAGTTTATAAACGCTTGTATTTATATAAATCCCATTCAAAAGTATTACTCGACGCGTGAACATGTGAGCAATCTCTTCAATAGTTACCATCGAGATCGAGCGTACATAATTTTGATATTTTAATGTTATTGCAAAATAAACTGACAAGTGAATACCGTGTTCGACAAATAATAGTAATTCGAAGTTATCGTTTGGTTTTCTATGTTTTTTTTCCTTAAAAGAACGAGCTAGGCCGAGTTAAAAAAAAAAAAAGACAAAACAAAAATATATATTAAGAAAATTCAGCTCGGTACCGTATAGTTAATGTTTATTTAAGCAGTATTAGAGAATACGGGAAAAACGAAGGAAAAGCCATCAATTCAGTAAGTTTTTATTTCTTAATAGTCTATGATAGAAAAAAGAAATTATTAATAATTTATGTTTACCGAAATAATTGAGCGAATCAATACAAACAATGAAATATAAGCAAATTCGTCAACATTTTCCCGTTTTGCCGATCAAATTGTATGCTATTTAGTATTTATGTTTTACTAACTACCTACATTCTACAAAGATATGTATATTTAAATCAATTTTTTCCTCAATACAATGCACCTCCATAATATTGTATAATATGTCTACCTGTGTCTTTTTAATAGAATATTTGTGTAAGGTGTAATAGGTAGTGCTTTTAAAAATGTTGACGTTAACTAATATACGATAAGTAATCGATAGAAATTTTAATAATAATGAATTACGTTAATACCTATTTTACGTAATATTTATGTACATTTTTTATCTAAACATAAATTTGTAACATTATATTATTACGTATAGAAAAATTAAAATAGTTTAGCAAACATGATTAATCATTACTGATTTCGAATTTATTTCACAATTTAATATACTGGTAAGTAGGTACATAATATATTCAAATTAGTAATTACTTCCAAAAACATAATCTTTCGTTTTTGACTGTTTGACCTCTTCTTTGATTTATTAGCTATTAGAAGATATAACTAAAAGAGTTTCCTGTACCATTTGATTAATTCAATTCCATATAATATTTAATTCATTAATTTTATTTCTGAAAACAAATAACTGAACTAGAGAATATTTCTTTGTCATTAACTTGAACAAAATCCATAACAGCGCACACGTTTTAAAGTTTACCAATGCATTAAACATTGCTAAAGGAATACAATTTCTTATCATATTATTATAAATTAAAATATAATTTTTGATTTCATAGTTTTATCTGATGCTTTATTATTATTATTACTTATTTTTGTAAATAAATATAGTTTATGTACCTACTTTGAGTGTCAAATATAAGAAAATAGAGTTATTTTAAATTTTTTCAGTTACTGTTATTTTGTATCTTAGTACCTAATAAAATTGCTCTTTTTATGCAATAAAATACTAAATTGTAATTAAAAAATGCTTTTATTTATTTAAAATTTAAATGTTTATCATGACTTATAGAACAACTATAGTTTATATTCATCTCAATCTCATTCTGAACTTATTAAATTATACCTAATTTATTGGAATAAAAAAAAAAAAAATCTCATATGTAGCTAATAGGTTTAATAGGTATGTATGTTTAACTGATTAACATTGGTTTTAATGTGATAAATATAACAACTCCAATGTTTTTATAACTTACGAAAATTGTGTCGTAAGTCTCATTATAGAACTTCACAGGTACACTAAGTGGAATGCCTGGGCTAGCAACCTCATATCCCATTCGCAACTGTGTATCACCGGCTGTTGGTCCATAAGGGTAAACTAATTGCGTAGAATTATTTATCCCAAAGACCAGGATTAAAAAGCAAAACCGTAACAACTCACTGAACCGATCCATGGTTTTTGTTAAACTGAAAGTAACTGATAGCTGTTACAGTATTTGTAATATGGCAGTATAGGTTATCTATAAGATTTTTCATACTATTTTAGACTAGAGTTCATAGTCCGAGCAGATAAATTTCATGTATTCACAGAAAAGAAAAAACAATCAGTAGCATTAAAATAGTATTATTATATTAATAAATATATATATATATGTATATAAAAAAAATTCAAAGGTCAATGGTGATAAAAAATATTAATTTTTATAATTTATGATTTAGTACCACTATAACCACTATTCCATTGATTCTTTAATTTTCTGTAAGAGAAGTTTGACCTCCGGCGATTCATCTGAGATAAAGTTCATTGAAAACTCATTGTATAGGTTCATAAATGATTCCAGCTCTTCTGTAGCTCTTAGATCTAAACAGTTTACAATCATTTATTAAGTAAAGAAAATTATTATATGATGATGACATCACTTCCTAAATATTGATTAGGTCATTAACATCACCCATCCAGTACAATGTACACATTACACTAAAAATACTAATAAATTTAGATTTATTATGATAGACAAATTTATATTGTATAATAAATATATAAGATGATATAAAGATAATTCATTAAGTACTTTCACTGTTAAAAATTACTTAGTAACCGTAACTTAAAGTATTAATCACCTTGAATGAGTATATATCATTAACTCAAAAATGATTGAGTACAAGATAATACTTATATTGTTATCAATGTACAACATCAATCTTGAATACTTATGGATACAATTTTAAAAATATTTTGGTGATAATCATGTGCATAAAATTGTTTTACAGTAAATTTAATACAATCTGAAGATAATATAAAAGTTTTATTCTTAAACTATCAAACAAATAGTTCACAAACACAAAGAATTATATGTTGTAACTTATAACACGTTAAACTGTTTAACTAAAAAATAATCATAATTTAAATTATTTTTCAACTAATATTTTGATTATAAATAAATCAATGTAAATATCTTAGTAAACATTGATTAAATAATAGTATTAAGTTTCAAAAGCAGTGATATATTTAAAATTAATAAAACAAAAAACATTTCTTACTTTTCAAGTTTGTTATCACCAATATGTAAACTTCTAGTGATAATTTTCTCAAACTTATATTTTTAGGCACACCTAAAATTAAATATTTCGATGAATAAAATAATCAATATTAGTAATTATAAACAATGATCATTTTAATTTACCATTAATTAATTAATTTTTAAACTTACCAAATGAAAAGTGTAAAGTCCTTTTTACATGACTAAGTATGTATTTAAGTTGTTGCTTGTGACTGGCATACAATTGAATAAAATCCAATCGTTCTATTACTTTCAAAAGTGTATTCATAATAGCTAACTGTAACTGTCTAGTATTATTTTTTAAGTGGTCAGCACATTGAGCAGCAACTGTTTCTCCAAATTCAACTATAAAAAAATAATTTGATCAATGTTTGTTTATTTCTTACTCCAATCTGTAATAATTATTATAGAAGATTTATTTGGTACCTTGTGTTGCCAATGTTTGAGGCCATGCTTTTCCAACTAATGAGAATAAAGATTCTTTAAATTTCAAATTTTGTGATTTATCATCATCATCATCTGAATCTTCAGTGCTCTATAAATACAAAATTTAGAATATAAACCATTATTGTTATTATCATGATTAATTGATGATGAAAAAATAATCATACTTTTTGTATTATATGCATAACTAATTGGTAAGTTTGAGCAAATCGATCAATTTTCAATTTTTCCAATAGCTCACCAAGAGTTTTTATGGCAACCATTCTGTAGTTGACATTTTCTTTTTTACATTCATTAAACACCAATTCTACAATTTCTTCATTTTTACGTGTTTCTGCTAAATCACTGAAACAGACAAGTAAAAAAAAAAAAATTTAGTAATAAGTCATAAAAGTCATAAATAAATAGGATTAATACTTATATTATTATTATTTTTTTACCTTGAACTTAAGTTTAAATGTAATAAAGCTTCTAATAAGAATTCTTTACCATCCCAAGTTCGACCAGCCAAACCAGTTTTAATTGTTTCTATAAATTTATTACGGTGCTCTTCATTTAATTGACGACCAAGTTTATTGGCTGCATCACCAATCGATCTAGCGGCCTACAAAATATATAAATCGAATTATTAAGTTAATGAATAAGTAAGTTATTCTTCAATGATCTCACTTGTGCTTTCATTGCCCATGATGGAGACTTGATTGCAACACCCAAAAATTCATAAACAGAATCCAAATAGCGTACTAGTACACCTTCAGTATTATGCACATTGTCCTCCCAAAGTTCTTTCCATATATCATTTGACACAATTAAAACTGCTTCATTATCTTAAAATTGAAAAAAATTTGTTAACTAATAATAATTGAGAATTACAATTTTTGTAAATTACTCGTTTCTTTCTTGTGGATAGCGAAAAATACCAATGGAATAATATTGGCCAAGTATAAATCTGGTTTCTCACATTGACTTATACCTTTTAGTGCATACCCAACAGTTTGTCTGATACTCTCATCTATAAAATATTTGTTTTTACATATTTTCATAAATAATATAAAATTACAAGGCACATTTACCTTCATTTTCGATGTACACATCTTTCAACGATTGAATTAATTTGTTTACAGTAGTTTCTTTTGCGACTGTAGTGATTACAGCTATAGTAGAAGCATAGCTTTTTCTAATTGTAGCATTGCGATCAGTAATACCCTTCATTAAAGATTTTAAGATTTTTTCTAAAAAAAAAAAAAAAAATATAAATATACAATTAAAAATTGTATGCAGATATTGAAATATTTTTATTTATATGTGACATGCTCTTCACCTAAAAATTTTGAGTTGATTTGAAGTTGTTTTTGGGTAATTAACAAACTAATAAAATGTGATGTAGCAACTTTAGTAGGTAATCCAATATTAGTGGTTAGAAGATCTTGTAAGAGTGGTATTAAATCTTGTAATACTGTCTCATCAATATAAAGTAGGCTCTGAAAATTAAAATAAGTAATAACCAAGGCACGGAAGTGCTAACAAATACATATTTTTTTTTTTTAGTAAGTCATACATTATCAAAAGTAAGATATAAATTTGTTTCACACTTACAAGATATTGCAAAAGACATTTTATTTAGATAATTTATACATATTTATGGTTTTTAGTACCATTTTGCTAGTTTAGAGCTTTAAGGGCTATTTATAGGCATACTTTTATGTAACAGAAAATAAATAATATAACTAATTAAGTATACAATTCTATGAATGAAAATTTATATTTTTGTTTTCAAATAGTAGATAGGTTGTTATCAAATGTTATCGTTGAAAACTTAGGACTATTTATTCAAGTAATTTCCAAAAATTTTGTTGTTTTTAAAATTGATGTGATATGCATTGTACAATAATTATTGAGTTCATAGTATTTATTTTCCTGAGTTAAATCAAATTTCTTTAATTCCTAAATATCTACTACTATATTTAAAAAAAAAAAAATTATTGACAATTTTATTTTGCATGTTTACCAATTTTTAGTGCTATTCTTTGCACTTATTTTAATGTTTTTAAATACATATTAAAGCACTAAAAATGTACTTTTTTAGTGTTATAACTTCCAAACCTTTTTAATAATATAAGGTTTTTTGATTAAAATGAACTATATTTTTTTGAATTACCTTTGATAATACATCACTTGAACTCAGTGTTCTGGCTGAAGCAGCACGTTGAGAGTCAATAAGTTCTTGAGTATTAGGGTTAGCTCCAGACATAACACTTAAAATACTCATAGTAGGTGTTTCCACTTTATCTGCACCTCTTAAAAGTGCTATTATTAATTTTGCCAAATCTCCTTTTAATTTATCACCACAGTTGACAATTAACTGAGATATCATATCCATACTAAAATTAATTATATATATATATATATGTAATAATAATAGAAATATTTAATAAACTGTATTTACCTAATTGTTCGTATACTTGACTCTGTGTGATAGAGACCTTTTTCTAAAATTATTGGCAAAAGTAGTTGAAGCAATATGGTATTAGAAGTGCATTCATTCACACATAGCTAAACATAAATAATATATTTTTACAATAAATCAATAAATAGAAGTCCTTTTTTTATACTTTAGATAATGTTTTTGCAGTAGACGTGGCAGCAGTTCTAGTGCCTTCGTGAATATCATCCATCACTCTTATTAGTTGTTTCCATACTTCAATAGTTAAATCTAAACATTTCTGTAATTTAAAAATCATTAAAACTCGAAACATTTAAATGCTGATTTTTATAATCATATAATACTAATGAAAAGTAATATTTACCGTGAATATTTTATCCCCTGTATATTGTAAAAATGAAGGGATAGCCTGACAAACAGAAATTCGAACTCGCCAGTCAGGACAGGTTATATTTTTTACTAAATCCACATAAATTTCTTTATGATATTTGTCAACCTAAAAGTAATAACATATTTATGTTTTATGCTCCAAAACACGATAACAGACACTAAAATAAAGTAAATCATTTACTGTGAAACGTGTATCTGAAACAAGATAACTCCAAATAGCACTCATTGAAGTTTGTACAACTGGTGTAGGATCATATTGATATCGATAGAGCCTGGGTATAATGAATGGCAATTGTTCATTAAGTTGATCATCGATTTCCAACTTAGATTTAGATTCCTTGTAAAAAAAATTTTAAATTTAAAATTATTTCATTGTAACACTTCAATTATATTAACCTTTTTCTTATCATAGTTTGCTAACTGTATGAATTTGTATAGTAATTTAGGTCTATTCAAATCAATTACTAATGAACATAATTCTTTGTATGTTGACAAAATACCTCTAAAATAAAAATTAAATGTTCACATAAGATTAAAAATAAGAAATAGTAAATCAAAATAAAACATTATATTAATTCCTATTACCCAGAACTATCTTTTCCACTATTTCCAATTGCCATATATTCTGATAATTGTTTTATAAGCAATTTTAAAATAGATTCTTTACGATCATCAGTTTCATATTTGTATACATTTATTAAAGCTTTAGATGCAATGTCTCGTATATAGTCTAAAACATAATTTAAGTCATTAAAATATTGAATAAATAAAATAAAATAAGTAAGAAACTGAAGATAAAATTATTTTATCATAATATATTTATCACGATTTATTAATATTCAATAGAAATAATTAATAATTATACATACTATTCTTTTCTGCCAGGAGTGCAACATAAGCAGTTTGAATACGAGCAAGTTTTTGGTTTACTGAAGTTAATTTGTTACATTCTTCCAAAACATTAAACATCCAAACACAACATGCCTAAAAATAAATATAATATACAAGCAAAAAACAATTAATACCTCATAAAATATCCTAATTATTTGTAAAAAAATATTTTAAAATAATAATCGTTTATATTATAATTACCTGTTTTGAATTTGGATGATCTTCAGACTCAACTTTTTCTAGTATACTATTTAAAAAGTAATCGGCTAATTTTTCACATTCATCAATTGATAAATCTGATACTACATTTTTTTTAAAGTCATCCTCAGTACATGTCCAAAAGTTACGAGACATTTTTGATTGAGGTCCAAGGATAGCACAAGATATACTATCACCAATTGATAAATGAATCTCTATATCTTTTGTCTATAATTTAAATAAATAAAAATAATAAAATTAATAATTAATTTTATTATTTTATTATTTTATTATTTTTTTATTAGTAAAAAATAGTAATACAAAATGCATACATATTTGGTGTTGTTTAAATATTCTTTGATAATATCTTTACTTCTTGATGAAGTCTCTCCAACACAAATCAACCCTGTGCATTTAATTGCTTTGTTTCTAATCTGAAATAGATAAATTTATTTTACAAAACTTTAATTATTGCGAAATCATGTTAAATTAAATTTTACCTTAGAAAGTGTTGAGCTATTAAAGGAAATGCTTAATAGTTTTTTTACCAGAGATAATTTCTTACACTCGTCAATGGGTAATGGATTTAGCCTTCCCATTGCACCAATCACATCACAAGCGGCACCAACTATTAAAGGACTTGTATCATCGAGCAATGTTACTAAACAAAGATAAATTATGACAAATGTATAATTATTAATTATATTATAAAATTTATTTACCGAGTGAAGTAAATGTATCTTCTCCTACCAATGGAGGAGAATTTGTATTATTGTAATACTGATATTCTTGAAGTGATGATAGGGCATACAAGGAAGCATATAAATCCAATGATTTACTTCGGTTTTTATCCATAAAAGATAAAATTAATTCTTTGATACGTTTTTCTGAGACTGTTTCATCCATAGCTGATAGAATTATACCATACAGTATTCCACTTAATCGACGCATATCTTCATTGCTCGACACAAATAATTTCTATAATTTTGTTGTTGGTTAATTTTTTGATTTTATTGGAGAAAATTAATATTTACCTGAATTATACTTAAATCCTTGGTATATTGATTCTTTAATTCATTTGGTAATGCCGCAACACATGCTAATAGATTGTTGAGGGGTATTACACTTGGTTTGATTTGTAACAACTGTATCATGAGTTTAAAATAATGATCGATAATTTTTGCATCGGACTGATAAACTTTAGACAAATATTTACAAATAGTCGGTGTATGTTCTGATGGATGATATAAAGTGTTGTAAGTAACTGGTAGACCAGCACTAAATATTAAACAATGGTTGAGATATTCAGCTATCTAAGTAGAAAAATATAATATATAATTTAAAGTTTACTTATTTATAAAAATCACTATTTATAACTTGAAAACTAACATCTAATAGAACAGACGAGTCAAACTGTTGATTACTGTCAACAACAGTCATCACCATATCTGGGAATCGAGGCAATAGTAGTGCATTTTCATTTTTACCAACAAGATTGCCAGCTTCGTCCACACTGTATAATATCTTTTTTAAATCTGAATCACTAAAACATACCAGTGTTTCTTATTAAAATCATTCATTTAAATTTAACAATAGTATTGTTTTACCCAATTGAAGATGAATGAGACATAATCAACAATAATCTTGACTTAGCATCATCGGCAGGAAATAAATAAGATAAATAATGTGTGGTAACTTGCTTTAGAAGGTTATCAGACATTTTACAATAATGTGCGATCATGTTCAAAATATCAGTAAGTTTACTTGAATCACTATATGCACTGCACATAGAAATTAAACATGAACGAATTGATCCTTTCAAATCAGGGGAAGTTTCCTGAAAGAATAGTAGTAAGTAATAAAAATATTTATAAAAATATTTATAAATTATATACTTTTATCAAAGCGTCAAAAAATGAATTCAGTAGGACTAAGTCTTCTTTTACTGAAGTAGGTACTTTAGAAATCAGTAGGCCCACCAAAGTAAATATCATCTGTTTTGCATTTAAATCAAGTTCTGGTAATTTCAATAATTTTAACAGACCAGAATTTAATAAAATTGGAGTGGCTTGAACCAGAATTTCAGCCGGTTTTCTATAAAAATAAAAAAATACAAAATAATATTTAAATACATGGGTATAGATTTTAAACTATTTCAAGTAGTGATCATCACTATCAATTAAGTAATTATCAAAATATTCAAACTATTCAAATAGAATATCATATTTGTTTTATTAGATATTAATATTTTTTTCATAAAAAACTATTTGGTCATTTACTAAAATGTAATGATAGCCACTCTCTATAGTTAAAGGCTAAAAAGAGTGAAATTATCTGAACCTTACTATCTTATATTTTATAGTTGCAAATGGCTTTATTATAATATAGACATCTGCTATTATATATTATTATGTTGTTATATAAACTAACAAATCTATCTACTTGGACTCTACCCATCGATCATCAACTAGTTCTCTAAAACTGCATTCTCCCTGTATATTTTTTCGACTTTGATCATGTGTAATGAGTGATGTTATATAAATTCATCTTAGTATTTTGTATTATCATATAATAAAGATATTTTAATAAGTATTTTCAATGCATTAAGTGCATTCTTAATTAGTATCAAATTACGAATATATTAATATCAAACCTATTTTTTACCCTTGGTTCAGCTATTAAATGGTAAGCTTCCATCAGTTGGATTAGAGTAAATTAATTTACTCTAAAATTAAATTCTCATGTATAAATGTTTACTTATATGTGTAACAAAATGTATACATGAAAAGATAGTATGACTGAGTGTGTACATAACATATACATTATGCACACACTTCAATTTTACATTACTACAATAATATTATATTGTTTATGATGATAAGTAAATATAATATACTGTTAGATCAAATTTATTTGTTATTTGATGGCGTCCATATTAACGCCAAGTTAATCATAAATTTTTTATAAATTTAAATCCATAATTTTGCAAGTAAACTCACTGTTGAATGATGATTTGTGTAAATTGCAATGCCAAGGCCTTAAGTCTGTGATTAGTAATTTGTCCGTTCCAACAGTCGAAAATAATCTAAAATAATTAGGTATTTTAAAACTACTAAAATACAATTTTACTAATAATTATTGTAATCACATCTAAATACTATATTTTTAGTAGGAGGGCTGGCGAAGGGGCTGAATTGGTTTTTGGGTAGGTGGGGGGGTAGAGCTCCACCTTGCCACCCTTAGCGCTGTACCTGGATAGCGTGGTATTGTTAGAAAGAAAATAATGTGTTTTGTTAATGTGGTAATTCGTTTTAAGTACTAAACAATCAAAAATAAAACCAATTCTTACCAAGATATAATGTTAATGTACTAACCTGCAAGCATTGTGGCCAAATTATTGACTCTTCGCCTTTGCTAAAACATAAACATGGTAATATCTTTAATCTTAATCGCACACAAGCTGGTTCTTTTTTATTTGCTGCTTCTTGCTTGTTTAAACTAGTGCCAAGAAATAATGCATATAATGGCATCATAGTAGATGATTTAGTCCAGTCAATCTCACTAATTTTACAGACAATTATAAATTAAATAAATTGTTAATGTTTAATCATTTAATAATTTAATTTTAACCAACCAAGTGATTTTTCTTAATTCATTTTCACCAGAATTAGCCACCATATACCGTGGATCAGCAGCTGCAACCACTGTATGTATTAATATAGCTTGGGATTCAAAAATGTTAGTTGATATCAAACCCAAAATTCCTAATTTAACCTATATCAATTAAGTTTTTCAAATATTAAAAATTAAATTAAAACAAAAGAATAATAAGGATATTACTTGTTCATGATAATCAGCATCTGTGAATATTAAAGGTATGTTGTTCCGCAGCCTATTTAAAGATTGTACATTAAATCCAGCAACAGCAGTATCATTTGGCGAAACCCATTTATATGGTATCAACAGTACATCTAACATTAACTGGAATAATACAGTTTTCAATTTTGAATGTTGTTGAATGGCTATTATTCCTTTACTTGCTACTTGAAAATTTGATTTATTAAGAGTTCCAATTATAAGAAACAAAACACTAGAAAATAAAATTAAAAATTATTTTATAAATTCATATAATTTCAAATTACAAGGTGTGTTTTTTACCTTTCTTGGTGAGTGATTGACTTATTAGTTATAGAATTAATAAGAGATGGGATGAGTTCAACTTTTTTATTGTTATCTATACGGTTAAAGCTTGTTCTAATAAACACCATAGTAAAATTCTAAAAAATATAAACATATACATTATACAACTCAATTTATTAAGTATGTTATATTAAGATACTTGCCAAAACAAAATTGTTTGTGGACGTAGTTAAAAGTGTAACTAACTGATCAACAGGAAGTAAAATGCTTGGACTTTGTTTTATCACTCTTGTAATGTGAGTTAATAATTCAACCACCTAGAATTGGTCATAATAAATATTACAATAATATCAATAAAAATTATATTGAAATTTATAAATACTTTGTTTTTGACAGATTCATGAGGAGAAGATAACTTTTGTAATACTGGTACTAGAAAGTTATTGATACAAGCCGAGAGTTGAGCATCTGTATCAGCCGAACCGAGTCGGAAGAATACTCTCTCTAGAAGTACTGTATACATAAACAATTAAAATAACTAGTTACTAAAAACTCTTTTATAAAGTAAACAGATAAGGCACTTACCTAATTCGTCATTCATATTTTTCTCAGACATGATCATAAATTGTCTCTAAAATATGTACAACAGGTAACGACTAATGACAGATTAAATGTATATTAAATTAAAAAAACTTAAAAAGTTATGTTTTAATAATATTTTGATTTATGCTCTACCTGTACAACTGATTTTACGTAAAATACAACATCACAATTATTAGTAATTAACAGGTAGATTTTAGGTATTACCGTACTCGATAGTTAAGTTAGTTATAACTTATAAGTGTTCTAACTATCTAACAAGTAACAAGTAACTGTATTTAATATTATTATTATTATTGTTAGAATTACTATTCATATTTTCATTTTCAAATTTTCATTATCATTGTCTATAAATATGAAGACAGTAACGAGTTGATTTATAATGTAGAATTTAAATAACGTCTCTAACATCTTACCTGAATGTAATATCATAAATCGTAATTATTGCCTTCACCGCGGCTACTGATACTAAACAGTATCCTTATCCGTTGCATTGATTATAAATATAGGGAACTAAATTATTATAATCTATGGCCATAGTATCTACAGAGGCGGAACTAAGATTTTTTACACCCGGGGAAAATATTAAAATTTCGCCCAATCATAGACCAAGACTAAAATATCTTTCCCTACGATTGTTTTCTAATAACTGGAATTCAAATTACAAACGTACTACATTCTTATTAACTTTTAAACACATATTAATGTTAACTAACAAAGTTAAAAATATCGAGCTAGTTCTTACTCATAGAATCATGTTATTGCTTGTGTTACAATAATTAAACTAAATAAAAGTTATTCTGATTTTTACATTGCTATTTGCTAACTATTAAATTTATTAATAATAAACTTGTTTAATTCAATGAAAGAACCTTTAAATTTAAAAAATTGTTCATGTACAAATAATTAATTTCAATACACAATCTTTACATACTTAAAAAAATTTAAAATTTAATTTTTCTGGCTTTTACCTCAGCGAAGTCGTTTATAACTGAATCGAAATCAATTGAGTTTGATATTTCTTTTTCAATAGACAATAATGCAAGATTAGTTAGTTTTGTTTGATTTATTGTGGAGCGTAAATACGTTTTTATTAGTTTCAGTTTGCTGAAACTTCGTTCACACGTGGCTGTTGTACATGGCAATGTTAAATAAAGTCGAAGTTCTATGCAAATATTTGGAAAAATATTTGTCATGGAATACTCAAAAATAAACTCTAACAGTTCTAATGGTGTTGTATTTTTGATACTAGGTAATGCATTTATGGCATGATGTTTAAAATGTATTATTTCTTCTGTTAATTCTGAAGCATTTAAGTCTTTATTATATTTTAAGGCTAAATCAGCTGCTACTTTGACTAATTCATCTGTATCTTTTTCGAATAGTTCAGATCCAGTCAGAAAACTAAAATCTGAAGATACATTATTCAATGTTTCAAATCTCCAACCGAAGTGTGTAAGCAAAACATCACAGACATTTTTCAAATTAATTATGCAATTGTTTTTAGCAGAAGTGTCCCATTCATCAGCAGACTCATCAATATCCATTTTTTTGCTCTTTTTTTCCTTTTTTCTGGAAACGAAGGAGAAATATTCATTTTTACACTAATTTGTTCAGCGTCTTGGAATAATATTTGAATTCTATTATTTCTTAAGTCAGTTATTTCTTTAATTAATCCATGAATCATTTTTGATGCTTGACATACCGTAATTGTTTTTTTTTTTGAAGAAATATATTTACACTATCAATATTTGATAGTATAGAATTCCAAATCGTTAATAAGCAAATAAATTCGTGATCCACTAAATTAAGTAAATTTTTCGCAATAGGTTTTGAATCAAGATTTCCATTTTCAATAATATTAATCAAAGTACATTTCACTTCAGGTAATTGTTTGTAAAGGGCCTTTACTGCAGCAGCTTTAGAGGACCATCTAGTATCGGAAAATGGGTTAAGAGTTACTTTCAATGATTTCATCAATATTTCCCAACGTAAAGTAGAACCAGAAAAAAAATTAAATAGTTGTTGAATTTTACCGAACAATAGTTGCATTTGTTTATTTGATCCTACAGCATTTACACCTGCTAAATTTAAACAATGTGGTGTACAAGGCATAAATGTTGCTAAGTTATTTTTTTCTAAAATTTTTGCTTGAACCCCATTGTACTTCCCTGCCATATTTGATCCGTTGTCATATGCTTGGCCCCTACAATTATTAATATCCAAACCATCTTGAGATATCTGATGTAATATTTCAGTAGTCAAACCACTACCAGTTTTTTCATGAGATTCTATAAAGCCTAAGAAACTTTCTTCTACAATTACTTTACTACCAGTGACACGAACGTATCTAATAACTTGACTCATTTGCTCTGTTCTTGACACATCTGGCGTGTAATCAAACATTATTGTATAATATTTAGCAGATTTAATTTGATGTATGATTTCATTTCGAACTCTTTTAGACAACAAAGCTATAAACTCATCTTGAATTTGATGAGAAAAGTAATTTATAGAACTTTTTTTATGTGATTCAATGTGTTCTTTTAATATAAGATCATATTTACTTATTAAACTTAAAAAATTAAGAAAATGACCTGCGGATGGACTCCCAGGTATGTCTGAATGTCCCTTCAATCTTAAATTGTTGTTGGCACAGTACAATATTGCATTCAAAATTGCTTTTAAAATGTGTCTCTATTTTGCTTCTTGTGATGTTATTTCATTTTGTAAACAGTCATCAATAGCTCCACCATTTTTTAATTTTTTTTCAAAAATTTTCCATTCAAAATTTTTGTCAGTGTCGTCGTTGTTCGTCGACGATAGTCGATAACGTTCATACTTATTATTTAAAATATATATTTATATTTAATTTTTATTATTTGTCTGTCTTTATATGTAATATGTGCCGTCGACGTACGCCGATTGCGCAGCTATACGTGCTTTAATAAATAATAATTAATAATAGAATGATGATTATTTTACGCTGTGTATGATTTTATTTAATGTTTTTCATTCTTTTAAATGTGGCTATTATTATATAATAAACAAATTATGAGAAATAAAAATAGTTTTATAACTTCTAACAATAAACATTAAATAAAGGCTCACAAAAAATTACGCCCACCAAAATTTTACGACCGGGGATCAATCCCCGGATTCCCCCCTCTTAGTTCCGCCACTGAGTATCTATAGGCGTTGTTAAGATTTATATAGAATTATAAAAACCAACACTTGAATACATTTTTTTTAAATTTATACATACATTTACCTGAGTATCCTATATTTAGATAGTTTAAATGAATACTTGTATAGTATTAAAAACAAGTTACTTCAATCGAACAATTATTTTGGCTACCTAATGATAAAAGGAAGACAATTTGTTTTGTTTTGATTTTCCATAATGTACCTATCATTAATAATAATTGTATTATATTGATCATTTAATAATTAATAAACAAAAGTAATTTTGATTTGATTAAAAGTAGCTCGTGTTAGTTAATAAGTTAATATTAATAAAAAATAATTTATTATTATTATTTTTTTTTTAACTGAGTTAAAATTTATATTGCCTGCTAAAATTTAACGACAAAAAAGTTATAATCAATTCAACTTCAACTATTTAACTTGTTTATCCCAAACATTGGGGGTAACAAATATTATTAAATTCATAGGCCATAAACATATAATCCATAGGTAATATCTACAATAATATTATGTGCATGATATAATTTAACTAACTAGACTAATAATTGATTTTGATTATGCATTTATTTAAATTATGATTTTTAGAATTTTTAAACATTTGAATTTGAGTGTATTTCGTTACCTGTATTTTTTTACTCCGGTTAAAAAGCTCGTTTAGTGATAGGTACATGCTTATTTTTTTCAAACGAAAATCACCTGATAAACGAAATGATTTTTTTTTTATGTGTTTGTTTAATTGATTGATTGTAGGTAAATAAAGTTAAAAATATGAAACCTGTTTTTGACAAAATAAAAAAATTGTTAGTACTAATTATTGTCAATACATAATTATGTGCTCGTTTTATCGTCCTATTCGTGTAATCATAAGTCCGTGACCTTGTGACCAGTGCGGAATAATCTTTAGTGTTAGTATAATATTTTCGTAAATCTACTAATAATTTTGTATACCTTCTCAAATTTAAATATTTTTAATATATTTATAATAATATGTTAACAGACATCACTATCATTTTTTTTTTCAAAAAACATTGTGGTACCTATTAAAAATAATGAAAATGAAATTATGGAAACAAATTTAAATAAATAAGAAATAGAGATAGCCTGGAAAAAAGTTAAAAAATATCGATTAATTACACTTATTTATACATATAGCACTATATTAGTTATGCCAGTTACGGGTTTATTTATATAAATGAAAACGAAATAGATTTGCAATAGTGTTATTACTTATTTGTGGTATTGTAGGTACTAATAAAATATGCTTCTTTAAAGCCAAATAAACTTTTACGGAATCTTGAAATTAATCACAATGAATATGGAAATAAAAATACAATTTTTTTTTTCAATAAATTGTGATGAGTTAAAGTTAAGTAAAGAGTATATTAAATCATACACCGCAATTGTCAAAGTGTATTTTTTTTCAGTTTTGAACCGACGGCGTTGCGGGGAACTGCTTGTGTATTACTTCCGCGATAAGGTGTATTTAAAATGTTTTTTTATTACCGCCATTCATATCGCAAAGAAAAAAATACTGTAAAATATTGGTGAAAATTTAATTACATCTTATATGGTTCAGTTTAGAAAAAAGTGTTATTTCATTCTCATATACGTTGGTTATCACAGGGATAAGTTTTAATGAGATTTTCTGAATTAAGAACTGAAATATACACGTATTTTTAAGATAAAAAAGTTTATAGTTGGCTGACCGTTTTCAAAATTTAATTTGGTTGGCAAAAGTTGCTTATCTTTCAGTCATATATTTTCATTATTAAATGAGTTAAATTTGTGAATGTAAGAGCCATTAACTAATATTTTTACTTGTATAATAAAGTTGAAGCTTTTCTGAAGAAACTTGACCTTTGTACAAAACAAATTAAGAAAACACGTATGATATAAATATGTTTTCATCATATTATGTATAATATGACTGAAGAAAAGTTATTAAAAAAATGAAATTAATGTAATGCAATGGATAATTAAAACACATTTGTCGAAATTAAAAAATAAAATATTAAATTATTTCTCACCATGATATTCGATTAAACAATATGTGGATTTTTAACCCGTTTTTTTACTCTGTGAAAAACACGAATTATCTTTATTAAATGAGATCCAACTATTAGAATTAACGTCAGATAAATTATTGGAACAATATTTTAAAACTAAAAATTTGAACCAATTTTGGATATCTTTAAGCAATGAGTATCCTGATCTTTACGAAGAAGCGTTATAACAATTAGTTCTTTTTGCAAACAACTTATTTATGGTTATTCCGGATATTCGACATTATAATTACAATCAAAATTAATTTAATGTCAAATCCACGATGCATGTTTTATTTACTAACTCTGCATAATAGAAGCACGAATTGATTTTTTGGTAAAGTAACATCAAGACCAAAGAAGTCATTAAATGGTTACTTTTATTCTATTTTAAATACTTGTTATTATTAAAAAAAAATTTAAAAAAATATATTTATATATATTAAGTGAAATGGTTATTTTTAAATAGAACGTAATTAATATTTTGTACCTTATTAAGTAATATGAGTAAAAAAAATAAAAATAAAAATAAATTAAGAGTACCCAATGGTTATTTTTTATTTCCCCATCGAACTTTATATTTATAAAAAGGTCGTATGAAAAATTGGGTAAATATCTTGGGTCGTCAATACACAAAGGTTGAGAACCGCCGAGTTAGACTACTATAACTATCAATTCACCAAACTTTAAAAAATAAAATGGAGAATGGATATTTTATAATTAATTTATATTACGATAAATATTAAGTAGTTAATTTTTTCCTTAGAAATACAAAATAGCTTTTTTCAAAAACGACGCATAATATGGTTTATATTATAAATAATCATTCATACACGATAATTCATCGTAATACCATTGATTTTATAATATAGTATATTAGTATATTATAAAATCAATAGTATCTAATACATATTAATGAGGACACTACATGCATCAACTGTAATTTGTGGTGCAAAAACATGTTTTTGATAAATGAATATTGTAGGAATTGTAATTAAACTGAAATAACTAAATATTCATAGAAAAATATGGGAGGATATTAAATATGCTAAAGCGTGCTAGGTACTTGTTGGATTAAATAATTCTTTTTCCATGTGCTTTTATAAAGTTCAGAGTTTTTTTGTTGTATTTTTTTTAATACATTTTAAGCAATACCTTTTGAGTATAAATTAATTATTAAACATTTTCAAACTTTTAAGCACAAATTAAGTTCTCTATAAACTGCAATTTAATGATTTCACAACAATTTAATAACATATATTGGCTATGTACGTATGTTAAAAATACGTAGAATCAGCTATATAAATGTAACATTCTGAGCTTTCCGTTTGTCTGGATAGCGTCGTAATAGTGTTCCTCTTAAATTAAATTAATTAAAAATTCGAACTTAAGCGCTCTTGCAGAATATCATTCGTATAATTAAAATTGCAGACATTAAAAATGTACCAAGTTAAATCAATCACTCTATATCTTCACAAATTATGAATAATATATTATTTGTTTGATGTACGTATCCATTGAATTTGTACAAAACATATCATACAGGTATATAGTTCTGCAATTTATCGGACAAAATCATTACATAAACGTTTTCTATTGAACATAGAACAATATTTTTTATTTAATAGTATCTTCTAAATCATGATTAAAAAAAAAAAAATTACATTTATAATAATAAGGTAACTATATTCTAACACTGAACAATAATAATATATTATACACAATAGCACGCATCACGCGACGAAAGAAAAATATAAAAGTTTAAAAACGCACAATAATATTTCAAAACATAAAACGTGCGATTTTTTTTTTTGCATAAATAAGGTAAAAGGTACCTACGTATACTTTACTTAACAAAGCTATTAACAAACAAAATACACAATTATAATAATAATAATAATAATAATAATAATAATAATAAAGAAATAAAATGGTAAATTATATATTTTAAACGCTTAAATATTAAGTAAAATTTCTATTATAATATAATGTGATGTGTTTTTTCTCTCAATATAAATCAACAATATATCATGGTCCCGTTGTCGACATTAAGTTTTAACATTTATAACAATGTTTTTCGTTGATATCGTTTTTGGATTTTATATACTGTAGAGTGTTATAGTGATAAGTCAAATCGCGGTAAGTATATTATCGAATGATCTATCTGACATGATATCTAAACATTGATTATTGCACAATATAATAATATAATAATAATAATATTGTTGTTGTACAATACGAAAAATCATAACATCATAGGAACTTTTATTGGTACGCGAGATAATATTTTTTAAAATACAATCGAAAACTATACCCTGTTTTGATTGCTGTTTTGCAATTGTAGACATCGCAAAATTATTATGACGTCTCACGTGAACGATATATATTAAATTAAGTATAATATGTTACGATAATAACACTATCGATTGTAAAGTATCACTGCTCCAGTGTTTTTATTCGTAATTAAAAGTTATTCATAGTAATGATAATAATAATAATCTTTACGAATTCATTTGAAAAAAACCGATACAAGTTTTATGTTTTCTAGGAGGTTGGATGGGGGACAGGGGGAGGGAAGAAATACGCGAGCGTATTCTTATCCCGATCAGTCTACTGTTCTGTAACAACGTGGTCTGGCTTTTTTTATATTGTAAATAGTTTAGAACATTCAAAATAAAATAATGATAATGATAATGACAATAATAATAATAAAAATTATGTAATAATATAATGATAAATATACAAATATATAATATTTGAATGCGTGGAACGCGCTTGCATTCGTCGTCCGATCGTATAGGTGACACTTTAATAATATGTACATTATTAAATTACATGACGTTATTATTATATTGCGTCGATGCGGACGCGGAAATCGTTTACCGGAGAATGATGATTAATAATAATAATAATAATAATAATAATAATAATAATATTAAAAAACAAACAAAAAAAAAAAAAAAACAAAAATAATCGGCGCCTGAGTCATACTTTGCTTTCGGGACCGTCAGCAGAGTGTTCGAATGATTTTCGTATCGCGGACAAATATTTGGAAGTTATGTGTCCGAATATCTTATTGTACCACTCGCACGTCCTGCCCCTGAAAAATGTCAACGATGTCGTTATTATATTATTTTATTCATTTTTATGTTTCAAGCACATGATATGTGTGTACATTGGGAAGGCTCTCGATTTCACACTAATTATTATTCGATTAACAATATCATACATTGCAATATGGGGAATTATTGATTCCGCCGAAACTATCTGTTTAGGAAAAAGGTTTGTATCGATTTTGCCGACTATTAATTTTGCCAGCTACTGCAGTTAATAATATTTACACATCGATTTCGCCGGACGCTGTTTATCCCCCCCACCATTGTATAATATGTATTTAAAATATATTGCAGCGATACCCAAATTTTTTTAGTTTACGTCATCCTTAAAATAAAAAAAATGAATTGCGCTTCCTATGAATAAATAAATAACAAATTTATAGTATTTAACTATAAGAATATTTTTATTGTTATGATAAAATTAATCAACAATAAATATTATTAAATTTCTATTTAAAGTAATATAAAATTTTTAATTTTTATGAAAAAAATAACAATAAATATTAATATTAATATTTAATCTTAATGCGAACAATGTGATTAAACGTTGGCTAGATGTAGTAACCTTCCGAAAATGTCCGAATCATGTACCTATAATACACTTTACAAGGGAGGGATAAACAGCAGCCGGCGGGATTAATATGCAAATATTATAAATAGTAGCCGGTGGAATCAATATGTAGATATTATAAAGGGTAGCCGACGGAATCGATATACGCCCCGCGATATTACTTTAAGATTTTTTATCAATTAAGTATAATTTTGTCGAGATGTGTATAGATATTATTTTCGGAGTAGGTTGTTGGTTAAAAAAATTACCTCCTTCCTCTACGTTAATGTTCAAAAAGTATTGATTTATAAATTTAAAATATTATTGTTATTTTGCTTAATGTATTTTTTAGTTAAACAATAGCAAATTACCTATTGTAGTTCTAAGACTGTAATATTATATGATAAATATTTAAATTTGGCAGCATCATGAGAAATGTTATAACTAATTATTTAAATATTTATAGAAAACATTTTAATATATTTAGTAGTGTTACAAGACTTATGATTTATGAATATTTTCATACCGGCATCAATATGGTTACGTACATAATGAATAAAACATGTAAATACTTTAGCTGTTCTGCGACATAGGTAACAATATTTGATAAGGAAAAAATTTAAAACCATCGAATTCATATAACCTTGTAAGTACATAGTACACCGATTAAAATTAATAGACATAAACACACACACACACGCCACTATTTACTCACTTATCAACACTGACAAGTCACCAGAATACCGTCATATATCAATTTGCCTACATTTTTCTCTTTGATATACGTGATCAACTGTAGATCCTTTAAAATTTGAGTTCAAGTAACTCCATTTTCAAAAATTTTAATGGATTATAAAAACTTGATGCTGATCATTTTTTTCCAACGAAAACACACCTATCTTTTGTTCGTTATTTAGAAGAAACTCATAGTGCAAACAAATATTACTCGACTATTTGATTTTTTTTTCATCGGTAATTGTGTATTTTTTAATTTTTTGATTTCAATTAAACCTCATAGCGTTAATTTATTTATATCGTGCCTAGCTATACAAGTATATAGGTAGTTACAAGAATGAAAGAAAAATTATAACGAAAATACACTCACTTTGTGTCGACCCGAGACAAATGCAGTACTCGGGACCGACCCGAACCACACGGTTCGATCAGGTACCTGGAGGCTAACACGATGCCGCGGACCGCGCCCGCCGCCGGCTGCTTGGCGTCCGGGTGTTCGACGGACGTTTCGACAACCGCGCAACCTCCCCGGTTCAGGTCGGTCCGCCATGACCTGGCCACGCAAAAGTCTTTGGCCGGGTGTGGGGACATCGCCGAGTCCGCGTACTGGTACAGATCGGCGCGCGCGTCCATTTTGGCTACAACCCTGGCCGACACCAGGTTCGCGTCCCACACGTGTCGCTCCCACAGTATCCGGGCTAGCACCTCGGCTGGTGGCGCTTCCACTTCCGTGCACACCCGCCACAGTCGCAATGGGTGTCCGTCGCCGACCTTCTTGTACGATATGTCGACGTTCTCGAAACTGCCCACTGCCACCCATCCCCTGTTTCTGAAAACACAAGGACCACGTATGTTATTTTTGACTGCGCAGTTGTCAAATTTCAGATTTACATTATGTACGAGCAGGTACCATGCTTACACCCGACAAGTTACGTATACCGCCTGAGCCGAATCATCTTGTATCGCTATTTTCAAATTTCTACTAATGTTTTTTTTTTTTTTTTTTATAATATTTATTTGATTATAATTTTTATGTTGTAAACTTTTCTTTGAAAAAAAAAATGTGGCAATTTTTTATTAATTAGCATTCGAAGTTTTGATTTTAGATAAATTAATAATTTGTTGTTTATTACTGTCCACTATTATATTACTTGTTTTATATAATAGCTAAATTATTTGTTCGAGCATTTGAGAAATTTAAAACACAATCGAATTGAATTGTGTATTTATTATTATAGACAACTTTTTAGATTTAGGAATAAAAAATAGACTTCTTGCTTACTTTTCTTTGGCTTCTTTAAGCAACGCCGATGTACACGCGTTCAAGTATCCTCTCCAGTCGTGACCCATTTCCGCACCGAGCTCTTCTAGACTTATTGGTATGCTCTCGTCCATATAGCTAAAGTGACACTGACTCATAACGTCCTCTGACATCTGTTTATGGAAAGAAAACCATCAATGGTTAATGATTAATAAACAATAGTAAACGGAGTGCGAAATTTGAGGGGATGAGGAGGTCGATCGTCGTCGGTACGAGACGTGTTGGCTGTAGATCGATTTCGTATTATTATTTATAATGTGTAAGACAAATTGATTGTTACAGGTATGTACGATCAACATTGTCCGGGTCAATAAAAAAAAACGTATTAACAACGAATAATTATTGTAACAATACAATGTAATTACAATACAGTATAGAACCAATAGATACATAAACCTAATTATTGTAGATGGAATCGGATTTTTTGGGCCTAATGCGGTTACTATGGTTAGTAATTTAGGATAGGTATTTGCGACGAATCCTCGATTTCCTATGAAAAAGCCGATAGAGAGATCCGCGTTGCGTGTGTATCACACATAAGTACACAGACGCCGCGTGATAAGCATACAATATATTATAAAGTGTGCAATACATACGGCGAATAGTTGGCGGTAGTGCTTGATGAGGAATAGCAAGCAATCGTGCGCCGCCTTGTTCTGTCCCAGCTGCTTGGAATCGGGCAGACCCACGGCGATGGTGGAGTTTGCCGACGACTGATGGTGATTCCGGCGCGGTGACACGGACGACGAACGGTTATGCGACGTGACGGGGCTGGACGGCGTCGATCCACCGGCGGATCCACCGTGCGGATGCGACGACGACCAGGCGCCGCTGTTGCCGAGGTGAAACAGCGATGGGGCCAGGCAGACGGCCAGGTTGCTGGCGGACATCTGGTTCACGTTGCTCTTAGACGACACGTGACACAGGAAGTCGAGCAAGGCGAACAGGGCTTCGCGGTGTTCGTCGGGTAACAGCAGCACCGTGTAATGGACCGCTTCCTTTTGCAAGTACACCGGAACGTCTGTTAGGCATATTACGTGAGTACATATTTTAGTAAGTGTAGTATTATAGATAAGTGAACCTCCTGCGGATAATTTTAAGTTATCAGTTTTTGGAGATCAGACACCCGAGAATTTTAATCCTAGATGTACTAAGTATTGAGTACTGAATCAAAACTGAGCTTTCGATTCGCGTATCGCGGTCCCTTACAAGTAAATGTACTAGCTATTATTACGTTTTCCGTAAAGGATACAATTAGTTTAATTTAAAAGTGTCACGAATAAAGAGCATTGTAATAATATAACATTTTGTGTAAATAGATAGGTACTTACGCAAATTGTATTACTTAATAGGTACGCTATATGTGCTGATTTTTTATTTAAACGTAATACACATACATTTTTTAACTATTTAAAAATATTTTTTTCATTTAATTTGAATTCGTTAAAAAATTAATAGTTTTTTCATCATTATTTATTTAAGCTGTTAATCTTTTGCAACTAAAACGTAGTATATATTTTTAATTTTTTATTCTGTAGCTATAATATGCGCTATACACAGAAATCAAATTTGGGATAGGCATATTATTATAACTTTATAAGTATTTATAATTTAAACTATTTGAGTGGAATCGTATATAAAAATCATACTGTACTAAATATATACTAATAGTACTCACGTTGAAAAATGGCGATGAAACTCTCGGAGAGTTTATTGGTAAGCAAGGCCTCCGGTAACTCACGGAAGTATTGTTTAACCATATCAGCCACATCATAGGCTTGATGGTTTTCGAATTTTACGTCGTTTGGTTCGGCTTCAGCCAGTTGTTTTAAGCGCTGTATTCTGGATTTAACGCCTGGCTTCCGGAACAACCCTACGTGGTCAAGAGCGTTATCTTCAAGCCACCGAAAAGCGGACGGGACGAACGGTGGCAGTGAGGAACCGTATTTTTGCACATTGGCAATCAGTGGAGCTCCAAAAACGGTTTTATCTAAAACAAATAATAGAAAATTATGTCAATTATAGATAAATAAATTAAAAAAAAAAAAAAAATGTTTTTTAAACCAAAATTATGTTAAATGTGTATGTAATTTTATATTTTGTTTTGTTTTATGGCGTGTTACGTAATTATTTATTTATGGTATAAGTAGTTATGTACCTTTGGGATCGGGCATTTTAGTTTTGCGCATAAACTTGGGCAGTTCCCAGTTCCATCCTGTTCTGTGTGTCGGACAATACCGTTCCATAATAGCAGTTAGCTTGAGAAGAGCAAATTTTCGTAATACCAAGAGCTGACCAACCGTGAGTGACCCGACCATTTGTCCAGCCAAGGCATTCGGCTGATGTTTAGTCTTTTGAAAACTATGCCATCGAACAACTGACCCTCTGTAAGTTATAAGATGTTAAATAAGTTTTTTACAATTTTTTAAAACAATACATTTGTTATGTGTATCAAAATAATTGATAAAACGTGTAAACATTTTGGAAATGTTTCCGATGTTTAACTACAAAGTTATGTTGATCCCTTCTTATATAAACATTGATATGAATGATAATAAATTATAAAAAAAAAATAAACGCAAGACCTAATTACAATATTTACTTTGATTTGGTGGTTAGTTCTTGATCGCTATCTTGCATTGCGCTCGAAACCGAATCTACGCTGTCGTTGTCTAGAAAAATAATAAATGTGAACATTATTGAAATAAACACAAAGTTTTAAATTATGATTTATTAGGATTTTACATTTAGTTTTGTATGTGCGGCTATCTTGACTGCCGTTGGGAGATGAAAAGTCGTTACTCCCGTCAAAGGCCATGAAATCCAACAATGGCTAAATATAGACAAAAATCGATGTGATATCATAATCGTCAATATTTATATATTTATACGTTGAAATAATCAATCGGAATTATTACCTTGGTGTTATTGCTGTTGGCGTCTGTGTAATCATTTCTCCACGACAGTTCTGAATCAGAATATGCTAACGAGTCCAGCGACTCGGGTTTTGCCAAGAACCGTTTGGACTTTATGTGGTCGTCAGTCACCGGCGAATCTGGCGGTGTCACGTCTACACAGTTAAGTTCCTTCATCCGTTGTTGCATCGAAGCCATGTCTATGATCTATGTAGTAGAGGAAAATCGTTAAATTAAAACACGTTGAGATAGCTTTTTGTTTATTTTTTTTTTAACTTTGAATTACAAAAAATCAGAATATTCCTAAAATAAAACGCAAAAGTACCGGAGATACCATATAAATATAATAATAATATTATAATAAAGTCTATATATGGTTATAATATATTTTCGGATATAATAATATGTTTATAGGTATTTAAGGTATATTATATGTGAAAAGTAATAATTGTATGTAAGTGTTAGTAAAAAAAAAAAAAAAAAATCGGCCTAATCGAAAGTATAAGATACGTAGCTGTTTAAAGAAAACAAATTACAGAATATATTTCCACATAGATATTATTCATCGATAAGCACGCGCATAAGACATGTTTAGTACCTACATTTTTTTATAACAACTCCTACGAAACTATTTAGTACTAAGTTATTATTGATTATTTAAATTCGATTTTTTATTTTCAACATTCAAGTTTTCTAACTGATAATTCACACTTCTTTTTAAAATAATTTACGTTAACTGTTATACAATTTAAACAATATTCATACAAAAATACTCGATCCTTAACAGGATAAACCTATAGATACCGTATTGTTATCAGTTGGCAAGAATCCATGACATAGGTAATGATTAATGGCACAATATGCGTATATATGCGGTGAATTATTACATTATTTTTGAAGTTAATATTTTTGACTACGCAAAATATAGGCATAAAACTATAAATTACTTATTTTAAACCGCCGTCAGAGTATTTTATGTTTTATATTATAATCGAATTTCAAAATAGCTATATCGTTTCCCTGAAAAAAAAAAACTATACTATATACCAAAGTGTTATGCTATTGCCACAAATCGTATTCAAGTAATTAAGAGTTTAAAGCATTTAAATAATATGATTTTTATGGCTGCGTTGCATTCGGGATAATTTAATGCGTTGATATTTTATTAATACGAGGCAATACATTAAAATTAGAAATCTCGGGCTCAAGGACATCTGGTTTTTGGAAATAATCGTGCAACGAGAAATTAAACAAATGCATCGATATAAATAAATGACTATTTAATGAGTGTATTACATGTATATATTTTTAATGTATTAAAGACTAAACGTTACAATAATTTATTTTAATACTTAAGTAATATATGTCTTTATAATTTCAGTGTATACCTACTAAGTTTGTAAGTTATACACATTTCTGATAATTATTCTCGTTGGAATATTTTTTAAATCTACTGACGGACATTCGTTAACAGTAACCTTTTACTATGGCTCTTCTGTTATATTATTTACATAGATCCTGCTGTGCGTACATGAGTACTATATTTGGGAGAAATTCGTATTATAATTTATGGTTAAACATTTTTTATGACCTTAATATTTAACCGTTTATTATTTTATTTTTGATAACCTTATTATATCATTTACATTTTATGGTGGTTATTTTACGAACCTATTTATAAAACAAATTCTATAATAGTTGTATTCTAGTATTATGTATTTATCTTATTCTCATCGAGTTTTTATGTAAATACATGGTATACAATCACAACAAATATTCAAATTATCAATTAAAATAATTATAAATGTTTTCTTCTTTTAGTGGATTTTACAGTTAAATGTTATGAAAGATAAAATTGATAAAATTTAAATTTTTATAGGGCATCATAATTTTATGTTCAACATATTATATTATAACTAAGTAGTCAAAATCAGAATTTACTACAATTTTTTTTTTTTAAATATATAAAAGTCACGTAGCATACCACTTGTCATTTTAATCCTCTCGTCTAAATTTAAAAATACTATTGTTGCTAAACATCGTAAAATTTAATGTAGATATAAGCAATCGTTATTATAGGTCAACTGCAATTGTAGTTTTTTAAACTATTAATCAGGTGCAATGTGTATAGATTTCAAAGTGCATCTTAGCTTATCAAACTTGTTTTTGTGTATTTACACGGGAATGATTAAAAAAAATAAAATTCGCTGGGTTCGTGTATATAAAAACAAAAAACCATCATAAATAAGAGAAAATTATAAATATTATGGTAAAAGAAAATATATATCTAATTAGGAATTAACAACCCGATAAAAACATTATACAAAAATATTATAAAAGTAGTATAAATCCGTCTTTTTTTAAAAAATATTCATAAAACCGTCAATTCGTCTAGACTCTAGACGACTCGTGTTTGTCAGGGTTGTTGATATCATTAGTAATTATTCTGCGCCTGCTTGTAAGTATATTTCAGTGCATGATGGTCAAAAGGAGCTGAATCATATTTTGTTGAAACTACGAAATCTAACAAAATCTCTTTTGACCACGCTCCTTGTATATTATAATATTACATTTGTAATAGGTACATAATATACAGTGCTTTGTACAAACCTGTGGTGAACCGATGATCACGCCGTCGCGGTTGCGTTGTTTTCGACGTCTTGTCTTCAGGCTTTCCACTCGCCGTAGGATGGCTTTGGCCCCATCTCTGATCCGCTCGCTACCCGATCGCCGGAATCGCGAGATCAGTGCCGCGTCCGACGCATCGACCGCTACCGCCGCCGTCTGCAGTTGTTCGGCTGACTGCAGCGGTGGCTGCGACATCGTGTTATTTCCGAAATTTCCCCCACAACTCGGTTGCGATGGTTGTAGGTCATGGTTTTCCTGCTGCTGATTTCCGGGATGATGGTGTTCGACGGGCGACGATGATTGCAACTGCTGCTGCAGCATCATCGCTGTGTTGACAATGTCGTCTACTCGGGACCACCTCCTTGATTCCCTCTGGAAGGTCCAGTTTTCACTCAATGCGCATTCTCCCTCGGAGTCCGAGTCATCACCCTGTGAACACATGGCACGTTGCTGTTTGTTAATACATTACGTAATTATATCATTAAACATGGTGGTCTTATGCCGGCCGCTGCAGGGTTACATAAACATAGCCATTTAAGATTTAATGAAATAATAGTGAGCTAATGGTTCTTTGAATTTGATTTAGTGGTCTACGATTGGTCCATTGAATTAATAAGTTATTTATGCAAGTTGGTATTAGTGAGTAAGTATCCCCGAGTATTTATTTTTTGACGATTTTTCGTGCAGTTTTGTATATAATAATACGACTAAAATAGGTGGATTGTGGATTGTGTAGCAATTTGCTAATAAAAAAAAAAAAAATTAATTTTATGTTTTTTTGTTTTACTAACCTAAATAAACCTTTATAATTAATAATTTATATGTATTTTCTATCATGATATTATTATAATTTGCTTAAAAAAAATAAATAAACATGTATGATTTAATGTAGGAAATAATAGTGAGAAATTTAGAAAATTTGAATTTCAGAAAAGTAACAATGTTAATTTAAAGAAGACATAAGCGAGAGATTAGGTTCTAATCATTAGGATATAGTGATAGTCAATAAAAAAGAATAAATTATTCAAAATCATTTAATATAGTTTCAACAAAGTGAAAAATACACCTAATCTAACCCTAGAGGATGAATTAATAGGAAAAAATAAAGGAATGTTCTATATGGACACGGTTTAGGGGTATAAGTTTTTTAAGAAATTTTTTTTTAACCTACGCAGTAAAAATCGAAAAAGATAGTACTAAATATTTACTAGATTTATATTCAATACAACAGCTATTATCGACCTGTTGGCTGTTTTAACTGAAGGCTTTGTATTTTATTGTAAGTATGTTTCATTTAGATTGAGTAAATCTTAAGTTAAGCATGGTGGTTAATCCAGCTTGAGTATTTTTATAGAGTAATTAATACGTAATAGTTAAGCTATAGTTTGTTATATATTAAAATATTATTTTTTTAAGATATATAAACTAATAAGGTATAGATTAGGAAGTTTAGGTATCTTTTTGTTAGTTAAATATCGATTATCGATTATTACGTAAATGATGTTAAACTAAAATATAGCTAAGAATGTATACTTGTGTGGAAACACGATGACGTTTGCACCAAATTTGGCGCAAAATACAATGCTAAAATGGTTTTTACTATTTGGCATTACGTCAAATATCATCGATTTAGTGATGCAATGGTGCCAAAATGTGTTGCACATAAATCGAAACTAAGATTTTGATGCAAAATTTAACGGGGCAGCAGTAATTTTTTTACGAATACTGCGATAGAAGTAATAGGAATGTTCCCTAAATTTTCATGATTGTAGACAAAAAAAAATAAACAAACTTTTACAGTTTTTCTAAATATTTTTAATATCTAAGCATGATGTCATAATGGCCCGTTATAATAGATTATTCCACGGTGAATGCAGGGAAAAATATGTAGATAACATAAAATTTAATCTCTTGTCGGTGAAGACTTAACTTTATAATATGGTTGTAAAATTTCAAAATAATTTCACGACCTATAAGTTGGTATTTCTGCGATATTATACATAACATTATAGATTAGGTACGAATTTTGTCCTTTTCCTTTAATTATTATATATCATATAAAAATATGTATTATCATTGAGTTTGGTCAATGATATTAAATTATTACATGTTTATGTTCAACAATATTATTGTATCTGATTATGAGCTGTGTTTCTTTGCTTTGAATAACAGCGACAACGAGCTTAAAAAGCATTTTCCTAATGTCAAATTGTTTTAGTTAATTGGTTTTAATAAATTACCGCAGTAGTTAAGATAAGTTTAAATGGTGTATTTTATTCAACGTTATTATTTTTCTTAGTACTTCTTCCTTGAGTTTGCGTAATATGTAATATTGTAGTCATAATTGAAGAGTATAAATTTACGTAAAAAAGTATTTTGCTGTTTTTTACGCCTGACGGTGTTGGAAATTTGGGTGTAAGTGAGAAAATGTTATTTTGAGTTAATCCTCGAGGAAGCTGAGATTGTGAGAATTACAATATTTTTGACCACTTTAAGTGATGAACCACAAATCGATGAGTGATAAGAGGAATCTTCAGACAGTGTCGATATATAGGATATGAACGGTTTTGTGTATAGCTGTAGGATGTTGATTTTGGTCTTAGTTGGATTGGATGGCGAATAGTGTAGTATTGGATTGTGCATTTGCACAATATATATAACATAATCATATTTTTTTTGGAGATTCGATCGTTACTGAAATAAACATAAACATAATACTATTATTCTACCATGTGCAGTAGTAGTGTTAGAATATTATTTTACACAGCAGCAGCTTGCGTGTTTGATTTAGTTTTATTATAAATAAATAGTACAACACGTTTTGTATGTTTTATCTCTGCATTCGACATAATAAATAATGTTATGGCGTCAGTTTTAATTAAAACGACTACGTTAGCATTTCTAATCGATCAAAACTCGTAGACAATGTTAATACATATCGAGCCGATCAGTAAAACTAAAAAAATGATTGGTAATAATACGCACTGCGTGTTTTGGCACAAAATCTAATTTCATGTTTGCACAACGGTTCAAAGCGTGCAGTCTTCTGAATAATGATTGCAAAGAGTCTAGGTCTAGAAAAGGATGGTCCTTTTGCACGCCGTTCACGTCGATAGGAAATTGCAAATCTAGTGAAAAAAAATAAAAAAACGTATAAAAAAAAATTCGGAAAATCGAATTTCCATCGTGATTGTTACATAATAATAATATTTACCTTCATACATTTGCGCGTACTGTGGAAATCCAGCGGCTCTTAGCCATTTGCATGCTTCTTTGGCTTCTATTTCTGTAACAAAAAACGACATAATTCATTTTTAATACGGTTCGAAGGTGATTTCATAAAAATAAAACAATAATAATATCAAACATGTTTTAATACTATATAAATTAAATACAACAAAATAATCTCTATTATGATAATAAACAAACTCGGCGACAATTGATATTGTATAAAGCTGCTGTATATTATATTATTTAATGCATACCTATAATAATTATCAAAAACGAAACGGCGCACAAGCGATCACGATATTAAAGTATCCATATGTTGACTAAATAATAATAATCATTAATCATAAATCATAATAAATAACTATACATTATCGGGCGGGTGCAAGGCAATGCGTAAACAGCGGTGTTGTGAAGTAGACATTTTTATCGACTGGGTTTGTCGCATAGTTCGGGAAAATATGTTTATATGGCTAATGGCCATGAAACAGTGTCGTGCACATGATTAATAAATAATAACAATTTTAATAATAATAATAATAATAATAACAAAACGGTATATTATATGGCAATATTATAATATTGCGTTTATTGATTTACGCGTACTGTAAAAAAATAATGTAAGTATTATTATATTATTACTGTATACCTAATACTATGCGTTGAAAAAACACAACAAACGCGATAAATCGGGGTCATGTGCTTCTAAAACCGAATGCCGACGAAGAGATTCTACCGTGGTTCGTTATTGTCAATTGTCAAGGACGATGATCTATGGATCGATTCGCCGCTCGCTACAGGTATAGGTATTGAGAACCACGTGCAGAACCGTGTTACGTCTAGGTTGATAGATTTTTCATGTGGTGTAGCCTATATATTAAAATAATATGATTCGATCCGCTCAGAGTTGAGATTTTTTACTATGGTGTATTATTAATTGTTTTAATCATTATAATGTCACGAAGTCATACGCATTTTGCAAAAAAGATGGCGTGACATGATCACGAGGAGAGATGTCTTAAAGATTCGTAACTGACTGTTTTCCGTGGTAAAAAAAAAATCTGTTTTCATTAAAACTAATTAAGCATTAATTATCAGATTACAGATTGTAAAACATGATTAGATATCTTGACTTGTCTTCTTTAGATTCTACTAACGTATTTTAGCAAATTTGGACTAACACTTATCAACATTTGACTTTGAAAATGTAATGCAACAGTGAATTACGCTTTTCTAGATAAATAAATGGAAAAATTTGTTCGTATTTTATAGTATCTATGACAAATAAATCCGGTTCAAAACCGAAATCGTATCGTTGAATATTGAATTGATCAGTACGAGTGGTATGATGGAATGAAGAAATTCTCATTATATTAAATTTAGTATATAAATAAATATAGTGTTAACTAGCTTAAATAGCCTATACAGAATTCCTTATAAACGGTGCGTTTTTAATCCTGACATATAGATCACAAAACCCTAACTTTATAGCAACAAATATTTAATATACACAGTTCTTTAGTTACTACGATAATTAGATTTTTGCAACTGGAAAAAATAATTTTGTGTAACGATAACTGTTGCAGTCGAATGTATAATATAAATTTAATATAATAGTGTTTAGCTGAAAAACAATTGATAGGTATAAATCAATTTATTACGTATCTCGTTTGAAGATCAAAAACTCTCGTGATGAAGGTAGTGCATAACAATTCAAATACATAAATTTATAATAGATTCAGGAGGGCCGTGGCGTGTCAGTTCAACATCGGCGAACGGAAACGTATTTTATTCGCATGATTGTGAACGGCATAATCGACCGGACCACTTGACATATAATACTATATTATAGTAGGTCACGAATTAATATAATATATTATTATAATATTCGACTTAATAATATAATATTATTGTAAAAATAGGTAGCTTGAGCTATTTTAACTGTGACGTGTAGAATTTTTATTATTATTGTTGAGGTTTCTTATTTCTTAGTTTGGTGTAAGTATAATACATACAAGAAGAGAAGGTTATAAAATGGCATAATTTAGAATAATTTAGAATGAAATAATTACTTGATTTAATATTTATTTTATACTTGGGGATTTTTCAGTTTTTTTCCCATAAATCGTAAGGATATTATAGGCCACTCCATATAGGCATCTGATTTCTTTTAATTTAAAATGCGATATTAATGGTTTAAAACTTTTGTAAATAAAATGCTAAACGCTAATGATTTTAAAATAAAAATAATAATAATCATATAATGAATAATAACCCGCTGTATAATTGTAAACATTATAAAATGTCAAAATTTAATGTTCTGTTAAAGCGTTTAACTGAAATTTATTATTTTTGACATCATACTTAATATAAATAAGTTAAATATTCACTAAAATTACATTTGTTGAAACAGATAACGATTAGCAGCAACCGCGTCAACAAAGTGTACTGCTAAAATATTGAAATGATATAGGTAATATTAAACGTGATGGTATAATTGCACGTGAATAATAATAATGTATATTAGGTTGTGCGTAAAACATTATTGAGAAATATTTTCTATTCGAATTATGGAGTAGAATACAAAATTATTTCAAAATAAAAAGCTTTTATTTTTTCATGAATTCAAAATTTTTTTTTCCTATTGTTGGTTTATAGTAACGTTACCCTATTATTTGAATTTTGGTTTGACATTTTCAATATACCATCAGAATATTTTTTGAAAATTGAATAAATATTTATTGGTGCATTGGTACATTGGTTAGGTTAGGTATATAATCTAAAAACTTCAATAATATAACATAATATATTCCGCGTTTGAATGTTTCCGACATTTTCGCAATTGGTTGTAGAGAACAGAAAAACATCAAAAATTGACATTTTTATGCTGTTTGAATAGCGTTCTTAACTTCTGCATACTTGTAAGTTTAATAAAAAAATTCGATACATTTTTGTATGGAATATATTCGTTCTTTAACTTCTTTTCCTACCGTTTCTTTGCAATCCCATGAACTTTTTTCCATTCGTCGTAACTCGTAATTCGTGTGCAATAGTTATAACCGGCCGTAAACGTATAATACATTTTATAATAAAAACAATGATATAATACGACGTTATATCACGATAATAATGAGACAATCATTATTTTACTTTTTTATGAGACAATGGAAACACGACGGCCAACGATGAAGACTAACGAAGAGACGAGACGGGTGAAACTAAATTCGCAGGCTGTGGTAGACCACCGGCCGGTTTCATAATATTCTCTCGGTTTGTCGGACAGTAGGTGCGGAAATTTCTATGTTCGCCGCCTCGAGGCTATAAAATATGACACCATAGAGTAATAGTTTTACTTTACGTACGAATATATGTCGCATAAAGTATACTGACCTAAAGATAATGATATTTATTGTGTATAGGTGCATGTATTGTGTTCGACGAGGGATTTATTTTTAATTCGTATTTTGTAAATCTATTGATCGCACTTTATGTCCTTGTACACGACATATATTATTAAAAGACAATAAATGATATTCACGCGCACCAATAACCAAGACAAAGGCTATATTATTAAGTTTTTTGAGTCGATGTTGCATAATGTTATTAAATATAATATCAAAGGTTCTTAATCTGGGGGGTGACTGCCTTAGGGAGGTGGGCATGACGAAATTTTAGAAGAGGCGTGAACATTTTTAAAATCTCGCTTTTCTTGTACGTAAATACGTAATACGACAATTTTAGTATAGTACACTAATTAATATAGTGCTCCCGCTTCTTTATATTAATATAAGAGACCTCATACAACCTAAAAATTTTGAGAACTAATTACTTTATGGCGTAACTAGTTTTATGTGTCATATAAGATTTTTTTGATTTTTTTGTGTTTTAAGATAAGGGGCTAGCTATTTATAGATTACTACACGACCTTCGATGATGATATTCACTATTCAGTATTCAATAAATAACAATTTATTCAATTAAAAACCCCACTGAAAACTAAGAATCGTATTAATTTTTTCTAATAATTGTTAACTTTGTCTGCTAGCTAGGTTTGGCGACGAAAAAAGACCAGCTTGTTAGCGATTTCATTGGACGGTATTATTACATAATTAGTTCCTTATATTATATTAGCTATCGTAGCTTCGTAGCTCATTATTTCACGTGCCCTCGCCATTGATCATCACGCAATATTGATGTATACATTGCTTGCATATATATTATACAGTATACAAATTATAGTATTGCATACATTTATCTTCGATAACTACAGACGTTGATTTTGTCTGACTGTCTCTTGTGCTACGTGTGTCGACGGATATACCATTGTGATGGGTTTTGTCTTCCGTTTCGGAGACCCGCGGCCCGCGCAAGAGGACTATTATTATCTTGTCGTAATTTGCTCTCGCAGTGAAAGTTTTCGCAAAATTCAACATAATATTACATACAAATACTACGTATACACTATACATATACATACTGTAAGTAACTATGTTTGACGTCAATAAAATATGAACTCATCATTGACGTGTATGCATGGACGCGCGTAGGCGCGTATTCACTTTCGGTACGCACTTCGTAGTCATTATAATATTAAACGAATTTCTGCACTGATGAAACGATGTGCAGTGGTGTCTACTTATAATATACTACCTAGATATATTATGAGTTATGGCATACTGGATTAAATTTCACAAATTACATGGCAAACCGTCGTTGGCGACGATGCTACAGCATTAGGTTGGTATAATTATATTATATTGTATTATATTAATAATAGGCAAAGACAGACTATTTTCCCGGTATAAAATTGTATAAATGTTAGCATTTTCATACTCATTCGAAATGAGCATCGTAGTGTAACAACACTAATCGTACGCAAAATACTAGTCATCTCCTTTTGAAGATTATTCTTCCGACCATATCTTGCAGGTTGTGTGTTTAATTTATGGTTTGTGATTTTTGGTAAGAAGAATTAGTGAGTGGCATAGTGATTTTAATAAAAATCAACTCCGAATTTTTCTCAATTTTTTCTAAGTGTATTATATTATAACAATTACT